AAAATTGCGACCAGTTTTAGTTTTCCCCCAAACGAAAAAAAAACCGATGTGAGCGTTCAAACGGGACCTTCCTCAAAGGCATGAATCCGGGTTTCTGATTGACTGAGAGATTTTTATTTTATTGGTAACGAAAATATATTCTAAATAAACGAAGTTTCAAATAAAAACGAACACAAAAATCTCGGCATGCTGCGTTTCTGAATTGTTGATTATTACTGTACTCAGTAGTGATTATAATAATGTACACAAAATAAATTTGTTGAATGGTTATGAAATACAAATAAAAGTCAACTTAGTTTCATCGTAAGTGAATGATTCCGGTCTCGTATAAACGTTTGATGCTGTAGGATATCCGCCATGTTCTCTTAGGTCAAATAGGTCAAATCGCTAATTAACCAATCAAAAAGCTGGATGATGCGAAAACGGCATGATTTTTTTTAAATAAAAAAATTAGTTGTTTTTAAAAAATAAACTGGTCATCTGAAGAATAATTTAACATTGTTCACAGTGATAACAGCTCATTCTCGAAAGGAAGCTTACCCGCTCACGCTAGTCACGATAAAAATCATACACGTGTTCTCTTGAATAGACAGACGTCAATGACTACGGTAAAACTTAGACTCTATTTTAGCCGGCAGGATTGATTGAAATGTCCGAAAAATGACGCCAAAATACACCTTAAAAGTCCCATTTTATTTTCTTAAATCCCATTATATTTTTTAATCCAAGGGCGAATTTACGGCAGAATTTGGTCCCTCAAATCACCGGTACGGTGCTCAAATAAGGGACACGTGAGCTTTGATTCTAACCGGATACATTGCACTGGGTCGGGGAGATCGTTTGCTAAACTTCCATGTATCTTTTGTCCAATGGGTACCTGTACTTCGAACATTCGCAAGTTTTCCTAGGTAGTGCGAGACAGCTTTGTCTTTTGACCTATTAGTTTTGTGCTGACCTCTTCTCCGCGTCTTGATGTTTTGTTTTGCTTGTCATAATACTCACTGATTGATGACTTTGTTTAGATTTTGAGTTACAACTCGGCCACGACCTTTGCTTTTACCGTGAAACATGAGGAAGTTTACGTCAATTGACGGACATTGCATTTTTTAAAAACTAATGAAGCACACTGTCTATCATCCCCATTTTTTTTTGCTGATTTCTATTCTGAAAAATTCGACCGTCCGAAAATGCACCTTAATTTTGACTCTAAAAACACGTCACATTTCTAAC